CAGTTACTATATATAGAAAATAGCATCCTACCATCCTGATTTGCCCAATGTGAGCAGTGCAAAAGCAGGCCAGGCCAGCAAACATGGACATAAATGACAAGCGGGTTGTGCTCAATATGTCTCTGTATTCAGGCAGAAAAATTGCTATTTCTCTGTGAATATCACCTTGAACATTCATCCCGACCTTCACAGCTTCATAGCTTATATCCAGAGTCTTTGCCTGCCCAGTGTTGATCGATGGACAGGTGGGGTGAATAAGAAAACTAATTGAAAGTGCAGCCATAGTTCTCATGTAGTAGCTGATTTGGACCCAGAAATTTAAGGTCATAGACAGAGAGCCAAAGTATTCAGATGTTATGTGTATCTCTTTCTGTAAGGTATGATTGTTTTAATTTAATTTAATTTCAATTTCATCTGGTAAAACTTTCATTCTCCCTCAATCACCGCCTCTGATACTAATTATAGGTGTACATTCACACCTCACCAATTTTTTTCCCTGTGGCCGTGAGGTATTTGAATTTGCAGCTGCTGTGACTACCCCGTGAACTATACAAAGGCAGGGATTGTATCCATCACCATCACTGTTTTGTGTTTTGCCCTTCTGAGAACACCTTACACATTGTAGGCTATCATTAATGTTTGATTTTTAAAAAAAAGAATGTGTGAATCAATGCATGGCATGGCCGTCTTGTATTCAGATCATTGGAGTGAGTGGCAAAGGGGGAAACATTGTTCAATGCCTATCCTGATAATCTGTTTTTATATTACTTAAGAAAATTACCATAACTTATTCCCACTAAGAAATTTGCAAATATGCAAACTCAGGCAGGCTAGCTGAACTGGTTAGTACAGTACCAAATTAGAAATGTTTATCAATTTTTTAATCCTGGTGATAAAGTTCTCCAAAACACCCAAACCATTATTCTTGTAGGTACACCCAGCATATAAGATATTGCTGTAAAGACAAACAACATATGGATTCCCTGACACCTGTCATATCCTTTCTAATCTTAATCTGTCTGAGAGAGCCAGAGAAATGGAAAAGGAGAATATTTAACAGCTGAGATAAACGAAGCTAAGACAAAAATCCTTTCATTAGTAGGAAACCTGACAGTCTTATTTATGAGTGGTTCCAGGATAGAGCAGCAAAGCCACGGATGTTACTGTCATCAAATCTTATTGGTAGTAGACAAACCTATGAATTCTTGTCAACTAGCTCAACAGCTTTTGGACAGGCATTTGGAGACAACATCACATTTTCACCACATTCTTCATGTTCTTTTGAAATCTTTCTATTGCTTAAAAACACATAAAGACTTTTAATCTCAATGTTGTACATGATCTAGAAATTTAATCTGCAAACCTGAGCAAGCATATGCTGTCAGGGAAGTGCAAAATGATCAGCTCTTTCTAATACCTTAGGTAGTAGCAAGATAATAACTGTGTAAGACAACTTCTCCCTTCTCTCAAAATAATTATGGATCTCTAGAATCTAACATCTGTGCCACCAGATGTTACTGTCAAGCACGTAAGCAATGGGTTTGAGCACTGCACAAACCTGGCAGGCTTCCAAGAGTCTTTGTGTGCATACCTCAACAGAAGAAGGGGCTTTGTAGTCCAAGATTTTAAGCACCACAGCACTCTAATACTGCTCCATGAAGGGGAAATGGTTTTTACTAATGATGGATTAAATCTGCTCAGGTTCAAGCTACTACAGTGATGCTACTGACAGACATTTTACAGCTATGTTTTAAACGGAAGGAATAAGAATGACAGCACTCAATGTCACTAACAAAAAGGAAAATTAGTTATAAACCAAAAATATGTTATCATTTTTTCTCAACTTAGCAATATCATGCTGTCATGGTAAATGATTTAATTATTTTGTAAGTGCAGGAAGAAAATATTATTCCTTAGAAAAAGATCCACAATTAGTTTTTGTTGTTGTTTTGTTGTTATTGTTTTGCTGTTGTTATTGGTGGTGGTGGTAGTGGTGGTGGTGGTGGTGGTGATGGTGTGTGTGTGTGTGTGTGTGTGTGTGTGTGTGTGTGTGTGTGTTGGTCCTTGGGTTGAATTCAAGGCCTAGGACTCTACCACTTGAGCCACAGTTCCACTTGTCACGACCGCCTCGACCAGCAAGGAAGACGTGACCCGGGATTCTTCTCAAAGCAGTTTATTCAGGAACCTTTTCTGCAAGCTTCTCTCTGCAAGCTTCTACTTCAACCCTCACCCGCGCTCCGGTTATATGCCTCCTGGATGGCCAATCCCGAGGTGCCACGCGGCATACACTAAAGCTTCGCAAATGGGGAAGCAAGCCAGTAGCCAAGCCATAGCCATATAAGGAGTTGTTTTTCACAGAAAGCACTAGCCATCGGGAAGGCAGAAGGCGGAAGCCAGTGCCATCCTTGGTCACGGCCCCTGCAGCTCTCCACAGCTCCCCCTTTTTGTTTTATTAAGTGACAGGTAAGAGTAGAGGTTGGGCCTCTGTATAAAACATTAATTAGAGGACCCTGCACTGGTCTTCGCCTGAGGGGCGCCATCCCCAGTGACGACCAGGCCTGTCTGATGCTTTTTTGCAGAGGTGGGATCTTGGGCATCAACCCACTTGCAACCCAACATGCTCTTCTTGGGCTCATGCCGGGAAGTGATTCCCAAGTGCAGTGCATTTGCCATACACCCTGTGCTATTCCTTTAATGTGGCAAGCCACGCATAGGGGGACTGTCTGGCCTCAATGGCAGTGAAGGCCTGGACCACCATAGCCATACTCCTGCGCTGGGAGCTCTTAATCCGGCATATGCACCACAGGCACAGCAAGATCACCAATACCAGGATACCGATAAGGGAGCCCATTCCCGCCCACTCCTTCCTATGATCCACAGCTGTCAAAATCCAGGAGGAAACATCTTGTAACAGGGCATCATCCATCCGGGTGGAGTTTATCGCGACAATGGCCGATCGTAGCTGTAACATCAATTGGTCAAATTCCCTTGTCCAGTTGCTTAAAAGATAACTTAACAGTTGTTTAGACAAATTTGCTGCCTGGGTATATTTATAATACTGAACAGCGGTAACACAAAGCCCTTCATATTTTTGAACACATCCCAGCTGAGCCAACTGCCACAGAATATCAACCTGCTCCTGCACAAGGTCAACCCTTTGATTTAACAGCATCAGTCCTCCTTTTAATTGTGCATTGACCACTTGTTGTAAATCCAGAGCTCTGGCTGTAGTAGCCGACAAGTTATTTAAAGTCTGAGCCGTCTGCACAGTATGTGACATGGCGACAGCTGCAGCCGTCGCACCCGCAGCAGCAACAACTATAGCAGTTACAATGGCTGCAATGATGCCAAAGTCTCTCTTATGCTTAAACAAGGTTACAGCTTGAGAAGCATCTACTGGCACAGGCACCCAACGCGGAATGCGTGCAAATATAGCTAACAAATACTGAGAACTCCAGCAGGTAGCATAATAGCAGGTTTCATTAGTACAAGCACACACATCATCTGAGCATACAGAGGTGTTGTTAATTACCAAAAACACAAAAGGGGAAACCACACACACGGGGGTAGGCTGATAGCTAAATACCGTATAATTCTTACTAAAATGACAATTGGCACCCACAGTACGGGCAGTACTAGTCAAATTGCAAGTCATGTTTGCTATAAAAAAGTGTCCCCCTTGCAGCATAACTATAGGCTCTGCCTGCAAGCAACTTTCATTAATACCAAATAACAGCCAATTATTGAAGGGATTAATTCCAAATGTTTATTGCAGCATTATTTACCATAGCTAAGATATGGACCCAACCCAGCTGCCCCTCAGTAGATGAATGGATCAAGAAAATGTGGTATATATACACAATGGAATTCTATGCCTCCATCAGAAAGAATGACATTGCCCCATTTGTTAGGAAATGGAAAAACATGGAAAAAATTATATTAAGTGAAGTAAGCCAGGCCCAAAGAAACATAGGTCCCATGGTTTCCCTTATTTGCAATATCTAGTATATGTATGAGTCAAGTGGAAACAGTCAGATAATGTGATGTCAGGAAAATGAACCCTTAGATATGCATTTTAATGTTTTTTTCTTTCATGCATGTGTTTATAACAAATTTATAAGATTACTTCTTTGTTGCTTTGTATGTCCCTCCCCCACAGTATAACCCCTGCTTTCACTATATTTGATGTCAATATAACTTGAGGAGGAGATGGGGAAATATCAGTTGTTTAAGGATACAGGTGGACCTGTTGCAACAATGAGAAGTACAAGTTGTCTTGTCCAAAATGAACTTTACAATGTCGGTGCGGAGGGGGGGGGTGAGAAGAGGGTGAAGGAGAAGGATTAGGAAGGGTGGGAGGGGGGAGCCTAGGAAGGGATGTGAAGGGTAAACAAAAGGAGGAGGCTGCAATGCTTGGTAAGAAATGTACGCATTATCCTGCCCATGTAATTGTAACCCCTCTGTACTGTATGTTCACAAATAAAATTAAAAAAATAAAAAAATAAAAAACAAATAAAGGGATTAAGTCCAGCCCTAAATGGTAAACTAGCATTGGAAAAAACACTAGGGGAGAATGTAAAACGCTTAGAATCATCATCTCAAAAAACTTGTCCTGATTGGCAACCTGTCCAAGGCCAAGCCTCCCCCAACAGTCAAGCATGCAAAAGGGAGCCCATTTAGGTTGTTTTACACTCCACAGGTCAATGCTTAACATTAAGCTTTCATAATCTCTGCCTAAAACAGTACCAACAAATTCAGTATCATTTGCCTAAACCTCAGTTGATCCAGGATTCCCATACCAATATCTAAAATAAGCGGCCGGGGAACGAGTCAAGGCTATGCAACTAACATTAATGGTCGCATCACTTAAGCAAAAGCATAGCGTGCCCATCAAGCTAATATTTCTAGCTTCACCAACCCCTGCCATTTTTTTATCCTCTGGGTAAAAGGGAAGGTTAAGAGTCTTATTTGTGGTGAAAATTCTAGGGAAAAGAGAGGCGTCATGTCTCACGGGCATGGGCCTCAGGAATGCAGACAGTATCCCCCATCTCACTACCGCCTGTCCCTGTTAGATCATCAGGAGCTGTATGATCAGCAACACAATCTTTTGTTTCTTCCGGGTTCTGTTCATCTTGGACTCGCCGCACAAGTCGTTCGGGCACCCACACTGGATCCGAGCAATTCTGGGGAAAAACACAAACAGATCCTCGTGCCCTTACCAGCACGGGGTCAGGCCCGTTCCAGAGGCCCGTGAGCACATCCTTCCACAAAGCCGATCCTAAGGCTGAAGGAGTGGAACAGTTATGCCTATCCGCCGATGAGCGACCAGCGTTATCCAAATTCAAAAAATTTAGGGTGAAAAGTGTCATGGCTATTCTTTGTCTTGCTGTAGCCATCAGGGGTCCAGCTCCCCCTTTTTGTTTTTGTAACATTTCCTTGATAGTGTGATGAGCTCTTTCCACAATTCCTTGTCCTTGAGGGTTATAGGGCAGTCCATGCACCAGGGTAACACCCATTTGAGTGCAAAAGGAAACAAAGCGCTGCCCAGTATAGGCCGGACCATTATCAGTTTTTAGCTGTTTTGGCATTCCCCAGGCCGCCCACACTTCCAGGCAGTGAGATATTACATCAGTAGCCTTTTCCCCTGGAAGGGGGGTGGCAAGTACAACACCCGAAAAGGTGTCAACAGAAATGTGTAGATATTTTAAACGGCCAAATTCAGGTACATGAGTCACGTCCATCTGCCATACTTGTAAGGGTCTTAAACCACGTGGGTTAACTCCAAACGTAGGGGGTTTATGGTAAATAATACATCGGGGACACTCCTTTATCACTTGACCTGCATCAGCTCTAGAAAGGGAAAAGCGGCTTTGTAAAGTCCTGACGTTTACATGAAATCTGGCATGAAAATCTTTTGCTAAGTCAACAGAAGTAGCGTATAGCGCCCACTCAGCACGAGTGTGTGCATCAGCTAGGGCATTGCCCTTTGTCAGTGGTCCTGGGAGGCCCGCATGTGCTCGAATATGCATTGGAAAAAAGGGTTCCTTGCGTTGCCATATAAGGGATTGTAGCAGGGTAAAGGGAGCTAGAACAGAACTGGTAGCCTTTATTGTACCAACCGCTTCCAATATTTTTAAAGGATTTATTACATACGCTGAATCTGATATTAAATTAAAGGGACAGGGGAAAGCTTTAAATACTTCAATTACAATCATTAACTCAACAATCTGTGGGTTACCGGGGACAAATTGATGCTGTACGGGACCTTGGTTACCTGCAACGTATACCCCGCATCCCGTTTTGGAGCCATCCGTAAATATATTTATAGCCCCTCTAATAGGCTTTCGGGCAGTTACATTTGGAAAAATCACTGGATGTTCCTTTACAAATCTTAGTAGGGGGTCTTTAGGCAAATGATTATCAATATCTCCTGGAAACATGCATCTCAAAATGGACCAATTATCAATAGTGGCACATAAAATCTGAACTTGGTACGCACTGTAGGGAACAATGATGGACTGCGGATAAACTCCAAAAAATTGTAAACTCTGTTGAACTCCTTGTATAGCTAATTCTGCTACCGCCTCAGGGTAATACTCCAGCGCCTTTCCGGGGGAAAAATGAGAGTGTAACCACATCAATGGCCCCTTTTGCCAAAGTACCCCAGTTGGTTGGGTCTCAGTGGGAAAAATGCATAAATCAAAGGGTTGGCCATCTTGTATCCTGTTTAAACAGGTGGCACTTAGAGCCTCCTCCACCCTTTTGAGACCAAATCGGGTGCTTTCAGTCAGGTCTCGTGGGGAGTTTAAATCTGTATCTCCTTTTAGCGTATCAAATAAGGGTTTTAATTCATAATTTGGCAATTTTAAATACCCCCTTATCCAATTAATATCCCCCAACAATTTTTGAAAATCATTTAAAGTCTTTAAGTTATCTTTTCTCAGGGTCAATGTCTGGGGCATGATCGACCTACACTACTCTGCCTGTTTGTATTTTTTCTGGCGCTGGATAAAGACCCTGTTCCCTTAAGGCAAAAACCAATTCTGCAAAGGCCTTTTGTAACCCAGCTTCTTCCTTATGAGCTATCAAAATGTCATCCATGTAATGGACCACCCTGAGTTTAGGATGCCGTTCTTTAACAGGAGCTATAGCCCTGCCGAAAAAAAGCTGACACATAGTGGGGCTGTTGGCGATACCCTGAGGCAGCACGACCCACTCATATCTTTGGTCAGGTTCCTCATGGTTACAAGAGGGCACAGTAAAGGCAAAGCGTTCACAATCAGCGGAATGCAAGGGGATAGAAAAGAAACAATCTTTTATGTCTATTACCATAATAGGCCAGTGGGCAGGAAGTGCGGAAAGCAAAGGTTACCTTCTTTGTACAAGGCCCATAATTTGCATCTGTGAATTTATGGAACGCAAATCATGAAGTAATCGCCATTTACCCTACTTCTTTTTTATCACAAATATTGGAGTATTCCATGGTGAAACTGAGGGTCTCACATGGCCCAGGGATACTTGTTCTACCATTTTATGAGCGGCTAAAAGCTTTTTGGAGGATAGAGGCCACTGAGCTACCCATACCAGTTCCTCTGTCTTCCAGGTAATGGGAACTTGATCCTCAGCGGCCCCTATGAAAAACCCAGCCCATGTCTATCAAGTTTTTGGTGGACATCAATAGGCTCTTTACAGCCTTGCAAGTTTTTCCTAGCCCTTGCCCTGGGCAGTAGCCCATTTGTAACATCATTTCCTTTGAGGTAGGAGAATATTCATTACTAAGGCAAAACCCCATCTCTTTCAGTAAATCCCGACCCCACAGGGAGACAGGCAATTCTAAAACATAAGGCTGGGTGTTTCCAGAGTGTCCCTCTCCATCCTTCCAGTTGAGGGGTCTTGCACTTATGTCAGGAGCTTTGGCATAACCTAACCCTCTCAGGGTTTGTTCTGAGGCCTGTAATGGCCACCCTCTCGGCCAATCCTCTTTTGCAATAGTGCTCCGATCGGCCCCTGTGTCTAACAGTCCTATAATCCTTTTTCCTTTAATCTCCAGTTTAAGCGTGGGTCTCTGGTCTAAATCCAGGGCTAGGTACACTGACTCAATACCGGAGGAGCCAAAACCCTTTTCACCTCTCTCACACTATATGGCAGGAAATTTTTCATGTAGGCTAGGCAGGAGTAACAATTGGGCAATTCTGTCTCCAGGGGAAATTGCTACAATGCCTTTTGGAGCTTCTACCATGATTTTAACTATACCTGTATAATCTGGGTCAATAACTCCTGGGTGAATTTTAAGCCCTCTAAGGGCAACGGAATACCGGCCAATCAGTAACCCCACTGTGCCCCGTTCCAAAGGACCTTGAAAATCTGACTCTACTAACTGAACGCCCATTTGTGGGGTTAGTTCGAGTCTGGTGGTGGCGCGGAGGTCCAGTCCCGCCGAGCCTGTAGTGGCTCTCTGCGGTTCTTGGGATGCCTCAGGGTAGGCCATCCTTCTTGGGAAATTTCCTCGTTTGGGCTCTCCATTGCCCCATACATTTGCAGACCCTGGGGACGGGGGCCCCTCTGCCCGTTTTTGGCTGCATGATGGGGCCCAAGGGCTGGCCGTTAACATCTTTGACTGATCTACATTCATTGGCCCAATGCTTTCCTTTTTTACATCTGGGGCACAGCCCTGGCTGTTTGCCCATTGTAACTCCTCCAGCTCTTCCTGTTCCTTTTCTCTCTGGGCAATCTCTCTTGAAATGACCAGCCTTGCCACACTTGAAGCATGCTCCAGATGTCACTCCAGAGCTTCCCCCCAGCCTATTTGAATACTGGAGTACTGTGGCGGCAAGGCCTGCATTAGTTAAAGGTCCTCCCAGCTCTCTGCACACTTTCATCCATGCCTCCAACCCTCTATGTTTATACGGGTTATTGGCAGCCTTACATACTTTGGTGCATTGCTCATAGACTAATTGTTTTATAAGAAGCATGGCCATGTCAGGGTCTCCAAAAATTCTGCCTGCTGCTTCCACTATTCTGGCCATAAAATCCAAAAAAGTTTCGGTGGCCCCCTGCAGGATCTTGGTGACATTGCCGCTAACTTCCCCCTTATTTGGTAGTGATTTCCATGCCTTAATGCAAACATCATTTATCTGTTGATACACTTCAGGGGGATATCCTGTCTGAGCATTAGCAAAGCGGCCTTGTCCTAAGAGCATGTCTCTGTCCCAAGCCTGGTGTGTGTTCGCTTGATTGATGGCTTCCTTTTCATTACAAAATTCCAGCATAAATGCCCTCCAATCCAAGTATTGGCCTGTGCTAGGCTCGCCCAATCAGAGGGGGTCATGCAATATCTCCTTATCGCTTCCACTTGAGCTAAGGTAAAAGAGGCTGTAATCCCATACATCCGAACAGACTCAGCCAGGGACTTAATTACTTTAAATTCTAGAGGCTCATGGAATCTCTGTTGATTATCGTCTTGAAAAGCTGGGAAGGCGAGTTCTGCTCGAGCAGTTCGCCAAGTGTCCAGGCAAAATGTATGCCCGTGGGCTCCATATCGATATGGAGGAGGATCTAAAGGAGTCTGACCAGAAGTCCTTTCTACGACCTCATTAAGCACAGGTTGGCTTAGCTTACGTTCCCCCTTTTTTATACGGCTCCTTTTCATCTCTCACTTCTTCCTCCTCTAATTCGCTGGAACTTCCTCTTTCTGATTTTAGCTCGGACAGATCTGGGTATAGTCGCCCCCTTTTGCCCTGTTAACTGTCTCCCTTTTCACTGATTGCCTTCTCTGACCTCTCCTCCTGTAACTGCTCCAGTGCTGACTGTCCATTTTCTATAACCTCACAGCAGCGCTGGTCCTCCAGGCAGCCCCTAATCATTTTCCAAATGGGGCGAACTCCTGCCTTTAATGTGCCCTGTTCATAGGCAAAGTCCAAATCCTTCCCTAATTTGTCCCATGAGGCTACTGTAAGGCTCCCTGACATTATGAACAAAGGAGCCACAATATCGCATTCATCAAGGAACCTCTGTAAGGTACCCTTCTTTAAATTTAGTCCTTTCGAGCGTAGTAGCTCTTCCAGGGCCAGAAAAATTGGATGTGACGTCACGGTGCCAATCTCAGTTATTAAAATTTTTATTTTCTTTTACTTTCACCTTAGGCCTGTATTTTATTTCTTCCCGGGTTCCTGCTCTCTCTTTATCTACAGAGAAGAGCCCTGTATTATGCCCGCTTTAATCGCGGATTCCCACTTACCTGGGAACTTACTGGTGCACCACCCTGACTGCCAGGAGTTCTCCATCCCTTGTGGAGTTAGTTCCCCGTACGGGCCACCATTTGTCGCGACCGCCTCGACCAGCAAGGAAGACACGACCTGGGATTCTTCTGAAAGCAGTTTATTCAGGAACCTTATCTGCAAGCTTCTACTTATCCCCCCGCCCCCGCACCCGCGCTCCGGTTATATGCCTCCTGGATGGCCAATCCCGAGGTGCCACGTGGCATATACTAATAGGGTCGCAAACATGGAAGCAAGCCAGTAGCCAAGCCATAGCCATATAAGGAGTTGATTTTCACAGAGAGCACTCGCCATCGGGAAGGGGGAATGCCAAAACCAGCGCCATCTTTGCTCACGGCTCCTGCAGCTCTCCACATCCACTGGCAAATTTTTGGTTGTTAGTTGGAGATAAGTGTCTCAGGGACTTTCCAGCCAAGGCTGGCTTTGAGTAGTGAGTCTCAGATCTCAGCCTCCTGAGCTACCAAAGATAGTTTATTAGAAGGATTGGAATCGATTAGTTATATAACACAATCAATTGTTAATAAAAACATTAAAATTGGATTAGAAGAAGAATGTGTATTAGAATTAGGGACAGGTCTTAAAATGTGAAAGTATCTTTCTATCTTAATTTAAAAATACTCCTTAATTGCTTAATTAGTAAAATACCAATAGTGAATCCTAATTCAATATTTGTTGTTTTTAGAATATTAAAAGTCAACAGTCATTCCAGGTTCTTAGGCTCACCCTTACAATCCTAGATATTAAGGAGGTTAAGATATGAAAACATTGTTCCAAACCAGCCTAGGAAGAAAAGTCTGTGAGACTGTTACTTCCAATGAATTTCCAAAAAGTTGGAAGTGGAGCTATGGTTAAAGCAGTAGAGCATTAGCTTTCAGTCCAAAAGCTCATGGTCAGGGGCTGGGAATGTGAATTTGTGGTAGAGTGCATACCTAGTATGCATGAAGGCCTGTGTTCAATTCCTCAGTACTTCATAAACAGAAAAAAAAGCCGGAAATGATGTTGTGGCTCAAGTGGTAGTGTGTAGTATTTGCTGTTCCAGAAGCAAAAACAGTCAGAGGTAGTACATAACAACGTGTCACTATTTAATCACTATCAAGGTGTAGTCTTAAAATACCAGAAGGGAACCCTACTGCATTGTTTATCAGAGTGTAAACTTGTTCAACCACTGTGGAAAGCAGTATGGAGGTTCCTCAAAACAATCCACATAGCACTCCCCTATGACCTAGAAATCTCACTTTTGGGCATTTGCCCAAATGATCACAAACAAGGTCATACTAAAGCTACCAGCACAACTATGTTTATTGCAGCATTATTTACCATAGCTAAGTTATGGAACCAACCCAGATGCCCCTCAGGAGATGAATGGATCAAGAAAATGTTACATATATGTATATACATATATATATGTATATGTGTGCAGATATATATATATATATATATATATATATATATATATATATATGAATTCTATGCCTCCATCAGAAAGAGTGACATCACCCCCATTTGTTAGGAAATGGAAAGACTTGGAAAAAAATTATATTAAGTGAAGTAAGCCAGGCCCAAATAAACATAGGTCCCGTGGTTTCCCTTATTTGCTATAACAAGTATGTGTCTGGGACAAGTATAAAAGGTCAAAGACCATATACATATGACCAGATAAAATGACGTTAAGCAAAATGAGGCGC